ATCATCATTGTGACCACCACCCCCACCGAAATGAAATCCACCAAAACCAAAATCTCCAAAAAAACTTGAGAATGGGTCACCATGCTTCATTCCGCCATCTTTCAAACCTTCTTCGCCGTGTCTGTCGTACGTTTTCCTTTTATCTGGATCTGATAGAACCTACACGAACATGGAATAATAGAAATTAGTGAAAAGGAGAGCAGACAGTGGTTTTTATTTGTATATTACCGGCTCTAATACCAGTATTGTTACCATATTTGCTCTATTAGTAGCGCATGGCAATCGCATGTTAATGTACAGTACAACATTAGCCCAATCTGTCACACATTCAAATTCATCATATCCGTATCACAATCACGTCGCCTACTATCAGATTCACATTACATATTGTTCACGCTCATGTTGCACATGTTTTATCGCACATATTTCAGACTCAACCATGATAATTGTATTTTGTCGTGGATCATTTCTTCAAAGAAATAAACAAAGCAATAGACATGGCCTTATTTACATTTTCCTAGAGTGAGTTTAGATCACCACCACGATGGTTAAAAAATGTATAACACATTGTTGGTACCGGTATTGGGCAATTTAAACAAACACAGAGATTGGTCTAGACAGGTGCAACATGATTGCATCACATTCTTGACAGAAACTATACTGTGTTGAACTTGGAAGTCATTTTGTCCTTGACATAAACCCCAAGTTACAGACTGGACCATGATAGTTTGTTAATACATTGGACAAATTAATAAGCGGTAAACTTTTATGCTGCTTTTTAGTGAAGGGTTTTTTGAATGAAGAGTTTTGAGTTGTAATTATTGATGATGGACTATTTCTAGGTTAGGTACTACCGTAACAAAATGTGTTAATAATTTTTACTAATTACGTGTACAAATTACACTGCTGCCAGCAAAAACAGAATGTATGCTTTGAATTGGTTATAGAAGTCTTTCTTATTTATTTATACAAATTAATAAGCGGTAACATTTTACGCTGCTTTTCAGTGGAGGATTTTTTTTGAAAGAATTTTGAGTCGTAATTATTGCTGATGTTGGTATATGAAAAAATTGTGTTAATAATTCTCACTTTATCTGGCAGCAAAAACAGAATGCATGCTTTGAATTGGTTATGAAAGTCTTCCTTATTTGGAACATGTGTGCAAGGAATACGTCACATCTGAAAATTTTCTTTTATTTACATTGGTTGTAACAACAATGTAGCATGTGAAAACGAAATTACAAAACTCAATGCAAACAATAGCACAAGCATGAATATTGTAAAACGTTTTCCACTGGCAATTCAGGCTGTTACCTCTCGTTAAATTACGACTACAAGCAGGCAAAGATGTACATGCATAATACTAAGGTTATTACGAGAATACCGCAAAGTATGTACTTAGGCAGTACAGGGTCACATCAATATTAGTTTTGTGCATACTCGTATTAATAATTAACCTCATGTTATCAAATGTACAATAATTGGTATTGAATTAATAAATGAAGAATTCGACACACACATGTGCAAAAAATAGAAAGTACTGTGAAATGCTTAAATTTCACAAGATAATTTTGTGCTTGCAAACACCATTAAATCGTTACAATGGCAAAAACAATGTTTTATAGTACTCTTACCACAATGGAGTCTAATAATTTTTGCTGTAGAAAGGGTAAGGTAGTAGTCTGGATATTGAAAGGATAGATATGGTAACAATAGATATTGAGATAGAATTAGGATCATAGTCATAGGAAAGGTTAGGGTTTTGGATTTCAGCATTGTTTGAGGCTTAAAACATTGTTAGAATTTATTAACCAGAGATACATTCAAAATGGTAGTACACGTATGTACATTATGTAGCACACTCAATATTATTATTAATACTATTACATCGAACACACGTCTTATAAAACTAAATTATATACAAGCCATGCAAGGCACAGTCCCCGTTAGCTATCAAATTTAAGATATAAAGTTTTGTTTATAGTAATATAGCTGGAATATAAACATGTCAAGAATATGATGATTGTTTAACATTTAAATGATTGACATTTGTATCTGATCGTCAAATGAGTATTGAGAGATATTGCTTTGGAACAGCATTAATTAAAACAAAATCAGCCATTATGAATATATGAATAATGAATATATGAAATTTGAACACAGTCAGTCAAAGCATGTCAGAGATATGGCTCTAGAAGCCCATTCATTAAAACAAAATAACCACTAGTCAGCCATTCAGAATTCGATCTAAAAAATAAAACAAGTTTTTTAGCACAAAAATAGCCACCATTAGGCCACTTTGAAAAGGATCGTCAAACCAATATATCCGTATATCTGTGATATGATGTATAATGAATATTAAAAATTTGAACATAATCAGTAAAAACAAGTCAGACATATGGGTCTGGAAACCCATTCATTAAAACAAAATGGCCACCGGACAGCCATTTTGAGTCTGATCTGTAAAATAAAATGACGTGCATCAGGAACCCGTAATGTCTAATGTATGTACCAAGTTTGAACGAAATCCATCCATAAATGCCAGAAATGCTTGATATTTGATGATTTTTTAGCACAAAAATGACAACCATTCGGCCATTTTGAATAGGATCGTCAAACCAATATATCTGTCTATCTATGACATGATGTATAATGAATATTTAAAATTTGAACATAATCAGTCAAAACAAGTTGGAAATATGGGTCT